TATACTTTGAATATCTTTGATGAGCAAGGTCACTGATGGATTCACTAAAATGTTTCCCTTCCATTTTTGCCTATTTTGACCCCAAGACTCAGAATAAATTTTTTTAAGTGTATTCTATTCAAGTTTGAGAAAAAAACAAGGGTCAGACAGGGAAACAACTAACCAGAGAGTACTGAATGAAGTATTAATTGTGCCTATGTTTTTATTTTTCTTTAAATCTTTCTTTAAATGGTCTGTTTTTTCAACAATTTTACACTAATGCTACTTATGTTTAGCTGCTTAGATGTGATTTTGTGCTTTGAGATTTTAGGTAATATATATTTGAATGGAAATGCTTGCTAATTTTTGACTAAGCTAGCTTACAGAAAGTCTGTCATTTCAGATAATGAGGTCATAAAGCTAAAGAGGTCATAAAACTAACAGAGCTGCTATCTAAACCACAGACACTTGAGAACTCTCCTATTGAGTGATAGCAAATATTGCAGGACAAAATAAGAGTACTATATTCCATTCTACCTCCTGGGCAGATATGGACACATCTATGCCCTGACAGCTATGCTAGTATGGGCAGCAAAACCCTTATACTTGTTTATACTCCCAATGACACCTAACCTGCCACAAAAAAAAGTAAAAATATAGTAAGCGTCTTTTAAAATCTGATTTACTCTATGGCCTGAGTCATTTGATGAGTTTATAGGCAACTTGAGTCAAGTATCTACCAGGACCAGGAGGGGTTCCTACTAGTACCCAGGTCTTCCATTTGAACATGGGCAATCTCAGTAACTTGGACTAGAAAGACCCGCAGAGACAGACCTCTGATGTATTCCCTGACCCCAGACCCTCATCACCTGCCTGTCAGGAGCCTCCACAGTCATGACTGTGACTCCTTTCCTCACTCAGCTCAGCCTCTATGTAGGCTATTCAAAGAGTGCCACCTGCAGGATGAGCTGAGGACTCACGAATACATAATTCATTTCCTCCAAATGACAGTTGAATAATTTGTTTAAAACGTGTTCAAGAGCTAATAAACACAAAATTTAAGTTAAAGTTTAATGACAGATAATGGGTTGCTACATTAATTCTTCACAGATATCATTTGTATTTATTTTGACCACAAAGAGTAAGCAATGGTGAGAATCACAGGTGCTCCCACTATCCCAGGGGTGGAGATGTATTTGCTCAGGGCATTTAGGCTGTCCCTTGACCTCTCCCTGTGGTTAGCCATTTTCTCTGCTTGAGAGCTTGCTGTTCCAGGCAGAAGGGCAAATTTCCAGGAGCTGTAACACACGCAAGAGCTCTCCTTCTGCTTTGATTCAAGACAATTTTTTAAACCTGAATACTGAGAATGGGAGCTCAGAATTCCCTTTTCATGTCAGCCTCTGGTCAAAGAAGCATGAAATCATCAAGTTGAAAGAGGTTCCTTCACTGAATCATGACCCTCTGTAACAGTGCTGACAAGTGATCCCCAGCCTCCTACTTCACACCACGTGTGATGCCCTTCCTGACCATATCTCATAACCAGCAACCCAAAACAAGGAACAAGCTTCAATGCTTTCACTTTGGGTCATTAATCTCTGACCAACTCAAGAATTATCCAGTTCCTGCTTAAATCCACGCCTCTCCTCCCAGTGGCCCTCACCTAATTGAGAACAGAAGCAAGAGAGAAACAGAGTGCCCTTCCCTGCCTGGGTCACCCCCTTTCTTACCACCTGAGCATGATGATCACCTTGCACAGCACAAAGCAGGGCTGAGGTAGGCTGCTACCAACAGTCCATCTGCCTTCACCATGGTCAGAGTTGGTTCTTCTATGTGGACTACCAATTCTGGGATGCTAGGCAGCTCCACTGCCCACTCCCTTCCCCAGAGTGGGGATTGGGGAACAAGACTGGATTAATTTCCAGACTATGAGACCCATCTCTAGAGGCCTATTTACAGGGCAATGCGGAGACCTCATGGCCCCTTGCGTAGGTGTTCCCTTTGTGGCCCACATCTGCTGCTCCCCTTTCCTGGGGAAACACTCCTCCTAAAAGCGTGAGCCTTTTGAAAGGTAGAACTCTCTCTCTCTCGCAAAGATACAGTCTCATCAGAAAGCAGAGGCAGGGAGAAGTGGATTATACCAAGAGATTACTTGTTGGCATGGCCAGGGAAAAGATGTAACATACGCCAAACAGGATGGCCACAGCAGCACGCACCACCCCCCACCCCCTACTCCCCCCGTTCGTGCTCTTGGGCTGCACTTTCCATGAGAAAACTGGCACTTGGAAATGAATTTTACACCCAGTTCCTATACCTCAATAAGGGACAGCAGGGAGTTAGGGTAAGAACATGACTCTGGAGTCAGACAGACCTGGGTTTGAATCCCAGTAGAGCCACAGACAAGCCACATGACTTGGGTACACTGAAGAACTGAGCCTTAGTGTCGTCTTCCATAAAACAAGGTTAATACTATCCATCACTCAGGATTGGTGGGAGATAAAATACATAATGGAACCATAAGCTCTCAAAAATGTGTCCATTCTTTCTTTAGTATAAATTTACATTAATGTGTCTCTGCTGCCGAATGAAAGGCATTGTCCCATGCGAAAGGCATATCAGGCATCAGTGAGAAGGTAGAGGAGCAACTGGGAGAAATGGGGTTGAAGTTGGGGTGGCCACCAGGCTTGCTCAGTTGTAACAACACACAAAATGACAGCCCCCTCGTGGGCCTATAACCAATGCTGGCATTACCTATGAGGCTGCAGCAGGAAGAAAGCAAGGAGAAGTGGGTTGGGTCAGGGCTGTGGTGGCTCTGGGGATGTCTTTCCTAAGTGAGGAGAGGCTGAGCCACAGGGCAGCCAAAAGGCAAGAGCACCAAAGCTGTGGGATTGTGGGATGGTTCTATTCCAACAGATTATCCCTGGTACCATGATCTGCCCCATCCCGCCCCCACCCCCACCCCCACCAGACAGGGAGTGCATGTGGCCCTCTCCCATCTTTTGCCCCCTAACAGGCTAAAAAGGCACCCAGAATGCCTGGCCACCCAGACATTTAGGGTCTGTACTACATCTTGTCCATCAAAGGCCCATTGGGCCTGAGTCTATATCACGTTGGCATAGTCCAGCTCATTCTGCAGAAGGTCCTTGTGTGGCTACGAGGCTTGCTTTTCTTGTGGTGGTGGTGGTGGTAAAACATATATAACATGAAACTTTTTAAGTTCAGTGGCATTAAGTAGATTCACATTGTGGCAACCATCACCACCATCCATCTCCAGAACTCTTTATCTTGCAAAACTGAAACTCTGTACCCATTAAATAATAACTCCCCATTCCCTCTACCCTCCAGCCCCTGGCAACCACCATTCTGTCTCCATGAACTCAACTATTCCAGGTACTTCATATAAATGGACTCATACATTTGTCCTTTTGTGACTCATTTATTTCACATAGCATAATGTCTTCAAGGTTCATCCATGTTGTAGCATGTGTCACATTTTCTTTCCTTTTTAAGGCTAAATAACATTCCATTGTATGTATATACCATATTTAATTTATCCATTTATCTGTAAATGGACACTTCGGTTGCTTCTACCTTTTGGCAATTGTGAATAAGGCTGCTATGAACATGGGTGTACAAATATCTTTTCACATCTCTGCTTTTAATTCTTTTGGGTATACATCCAGAAGTGGGATTATTGAATCATATGGTAATCCTATGTTTAATTTTTTGAGGAACCGCCATACTGTTTTCCACAGTGGCTGCACCATTTTACATTCCCACCAACAGTACACCAGGGTTCCATATGAGGCTTTCTTTATTCTATAGGTTGGGTCTAATATACCTGCATTCCCTGGGGTCAACTCACTGCTGACACAGTCTTTCTGGCTCCTGTCAGGCCTCTCACTTTTCAGCATACACTTGCAGCTCACCTAGAGATGTGGTATGCTCCACTACTTTCCTGTCCTCTAGCAGATTCCTTTGGTTCTTGGCAGTCCCTCTCTTTTGCACCCACAGCTCACATCTGTCTGGGGCTGGTAGCCTCCCTGGGCGAAGGTTGGGGCTCTGCACAATGCCCAGCAGAACACCCACGTTGAGGACTGCCCACATAGTGGGATGGGAGTCAGCCCTGGGTAAAGCTGTGATGTGACAAACCCTAGCTTTGTGGTCCTCACCACTCCAGCCACATCCACCCCTCTGTCCTATACTTATACTCTTCACAGCTGCCCCTTTCCTGCCTTATTCTTAAGAGTCTTATTTTCTACTGCAACTGATCACACTCGACAAAATAACTGAACAGCAGAATTTCATCTTGAAGATGAATATTTTCAGGATCTATTTGGAAAACTCCCCAAAAGAGGAATATAAGGGAGTTAGGATAAAATTTTGAGGATGCAGGCTCAGAACAGAAAGCCTCTTATATCATTCTATTAAGACAAATGGTTAAGGCCTCTCATATAGCATCTTTGTGCAAATTAGAAAATGGTGCCCTTTTTGGACCAGGTGTGCAGCTCAGCTAAAACGCTGAATATTGTGCAGATTACAGACTAACTATTGTGCCAATGATACAAAGGTGCATTCTCTGGGCACATTCAGCCTTGTGGGTGCATAGCTTGATAAACAGGTGCTACCTCTTCCTTCAGGAGCTGGAAGGTACACAGCTTTGCAAGCAGAGCTGGCACTGATTTTCAGCTCCCACTAGCCTGCAGTGACAAACATAGTGGTAGCTTTGGGCTATTGATGGCTCTAATAATGTCATTCCCTCCCGCCATTACCATCTCGTGGCATTTACAGATCATGCTGGCATGAAGATTTTCTTTGAAGACCATAAACTGAGGGTCTCTTTACCACTCCCCTAGTGATCCAAGAGCAGACACAGGTCCCTTGCATCAGGCAGGAAGGCAGTCCAGACATGCTATGGGCTATCAACCCAACATGCCCCACCAAACACCAAAGCCATAGCCCTGGTCTCCCTCACCCGCTCTACACACATGTACACACACACACAGCCACACACAGCATCTCACCTGAGCCACCTCTTCAAAATCATCATGCCTCTTCTGCAGGGCCCGGGCTCGATGCAGGGACTTCCCAACCCCTGTGTGTTTGCTGAGAAAGGCCTCACCATGGTTTTCAATCCAGTCCAACACCTGGTCAAAGGAGGAACACAGAAACAATGACTTTCTGACAAAAGGAAAGACATGTGACAACATGTGTGACTGCTAGAGTCCTAGACTCCCCATGCCAATCAGAAAGCAGCAGTCCAGGTGGAAATGTTCAATCAAGTGTAGATTCAGGGGATTTCATTGCCGTCGGTGGCAACATAACAATCCCCCCCTTAACAAAATTCAAGTCATCCTCTTTGATCTCCAGAATATATCCTCATTACTTTTTCAGTTTTTCCAGCCTTAATTAGTCCATTATTTTAAACAAGCTACACAGACCATCAGGCACCGTTTAACCCCCTCACCACGTTTACTCCAACTCCATAAAGTCAGACACATTGGCAGGAAATTAGGCAGTGTCAGGTCAGGGCACTTCCGTGGCCCTCACTTCACCATAAAAATGCTCACAGCAGTGGCGACCAGTCATGGGCTCCTGCCTCAGTGTGCTCCTGGGACTCTCTTCCTAATCTTGGAAGGAAAGTCCAGAGCAGTCAGTCTCCAACTGGAGCTCTGCTCAAGGTAGCTGGTCACCAGGACAACTGCCCTCTCTGGCTTCCTTCCACCTCTCTCCTCCAATCAACACCAACCAACCAAAAAAATAAAGAAAGGTCTTTGCCTTCTAAGGCCTTTAGCATCTATGATTTTCTTGGGAAGCAGTGGAAACTCCATGTTCATCCAGGCGTAAGATTTAGTGATTTGGACTCAAGACATTTTCCTCAGTGTTTAGAGAAGCTAGAACAGAGGTGACTGGTGCAGTTGGGGCATGAGTGAGGGGATGCTGAGAAAATACGTTGTCTTGAGGGGCACTTGACAGGGAGAGTAGAAACCCCTTAGTAAAAGCCTTGAAATGTAGGGAGGACCAAAGCCTTTAACATCCGTTTTGCATTTGCCCAGATAGCCTAACAAAAATGTGTGCCTCCCAGAGAGAAGGGAAGCAGTTCACCTTCTGGTCTCTGAGGAGCCGGCACTCAATAAATCAGGTGGCCACAATTAAATCAGAATTATGGTACAGACTCACCTGTTACAGATCCTGCCAAGACTCAACTGAGCCCACTCTACTCCTACTATACTAAACTTCACCTGAACATTGGATTAATGAGGTACCAGCCTTCTCAGATTTTAGAAGGACTTTTGGGAAAATGATTTAGATGAACTAAGCCTGTTTAAAAGAATGCTTTAATCCATTTTTCTGTTTCTTCTGCAGATTGCCCTGTGGCAAGCAGGTAGACCAAATCATTCCATAATTCTGTACAGCCAGACATGGAAGTTCTGGCTCTACAGAACGTAGCCCTTGGTTTCACTTCCTCTAACATTTGAGATAAATTAATGCCTGCAATTGTGCAAAGTGTGGAAGCCTTCAAAACCTTCAGTGACGGTATCATAAAGCGCAGACCAAGATGGTTCTAGTTCAGAGAAACGCACCTATGAATATAAAAATAAGGTTTAACAAACATTCACTTAAAACTGGAAAGTCAGGTACCTGTCCATTAAAATGAAGGAAAAAAAAGGCTTTTTCGAAACTGACTTTATCAAAACATTAGGTGTAGATATTATAAACGTTTTATATAACAAATTCTGGCAATATTTTTTAAATATTCTGGAGGCACATCTGTAAAAAGAAATTGCAGTAGTAAAGGAACTAGATTTTTACCTTTTGTAAATACTGAAAGGCCACACTAAAAGGAACTTTATTCCTTTCTTAGAAGAAAGAAGGCTACAGTACTCTAGAATTACTTACAGTGAAATTTCAACAAAAAAAATCAGGAGAGTGCGTTGTTACTTGCCACAATCTGATCCCACAATTCTGTACTGTAAAGGGGATGATAAGCATCAGCACGCAAGGTCAAAGATAAATACTTCTAGTCACAAAGTTTCCTGTATATTGTGTACCATGAATAGTGCAGTTTTATAATTTTTATGCATATTTAAACTTTTAATAACCCCCTTTTGAGAATGAATTGAAGCTTTGGAATAAGTTTTATATACAAAGGAGCTGTCTTGCAGCCTTTCATGACTGCTTTGGAATTGATGACAGATTTTCAGATTACAAGTTTTTTTTTTTAATTTAGTTTTGAGCAGTTGAGTATGACCTGCTTGTCTGGCACTGTTTTCATGAAATTTATTTTATTTCATTTCATTTTTTATCTCTAGCTTTAATAAAATTAGTTATTCTGAGGCAAAGTGGTTAAAGAGGAGTGTTTTTCTTCCACTAGTTCACAAATGGTTAGCTTTTATACTGAGGGTGATTTCACAACTTTTAAACTTTTTCCTAAAAAGCAGTTTGTGGGGGCTGGCCCGGTGGCATAGCAGTTAAATTCGCACACTCTGCTTCAGCGGCCCAGGGTTCACAGGTTCAGATCCTGGGCACGGACCGACACACTGCTTGTCAAGCCGTGCTGTGGCGGCGTCCCATATAAACCAGAGGAAGATGGGCACAGATGTTAGCCCAGGGCCAATCTTCCTCAGCAAAAAGGGGAAGATTGGCAATGGATGTTAGCTTAGGGCTAATCTTCCTCACACACACACACACACACACACACAAAAGGCAGTTTGTTTCCGGTTTAGTTATTTTGCTTTCTTTAAAATGTCAATTCATTTTCAGTTAGCGACTGAATTCATTTTCAATTTACTTAATTAGCCTTAACCACCTAAAAATCTATTTATTTCATATTTGAGAGGCTTTTACTTAAACATAACTTTGCTCTGTGATGTTACTTTGCCTCCATTTAGTCCAACTTTTTCCATTAGAACTGAAGCTGTGGGAAAACAAGTGCAGCCTCAGTGAGGATTCAGGGACTGCAGGGAAATCAACTTAACAAATATAAAGCAATGATTTAGGAAGTGAACAAAATTACTTTAGTAATACATAGAGACTGAAAAAGTACTCGAGGACCCATAAACATAATCAATACATGAGGTATTGTTTAAAATGCTGCTTTCTGACTGTTTTGTTTCAGACAGTTCATTTGGAGCCAGCCTGGCTTGATACACACATTTAGACCACATGGTCCCCTGACCCTTGATTCCATGTCCCCCATCCCTGGGAGTACAATCTAGCTTCCCATGTAGACTACACGGCAGAGAAATGTGCTTCTGAGCAGACACCAGCAGTGCCTGACAGTTACATTACACACCGTAAATGAAGGTGCAGCCCTGGAAGTCTGGAAATCCTTCAGTTTCTGGTGGGTCCCAGAATCCGAACATCATTGGCTAAGAATAGAGTTACTAGCCATACCCTGGACCCTACCAAAGGGTAAGCACCCATCAAGGCAACCCTTATTAGCTGCCCCCTGGTTAATTTCTCTGATGCACAAGATCTTATTTAAAATACTCAATTATCAATTATAGTCAGGATAGTACAGGACAATAGTTAATCATACCTATTGATGGCTTTGAATCGGTATTCAAGCGTTTCCAACAATAGGAGGTTTTATCTTTCTGCTTTTATCTGAGGGGTCCTCAGGATGCAGAGAAGCACATGTAGGATATGAATATTCACATATTCAAACAGATATCTATTAGTCTTATTGTGCCCTGGTGTGCGGCACTAGGACAGCCCAGGGTGCAGTATTAAATAAGGCAGGTGAGGCCCTGACTCCAAGAACTTAGTCTAAGTGGGTAATAAGCACTCGACATGAAATCACACAATTCATCATTACTTGCAATGGTGGAAAGTGCCAACAGGCAGGGAAGGCCTCTCTGAAGAAGTGAGGGTTAGCTGAGACCTGAGAGAGAGTGGGAGTTCCCCCAGTGAGGCAATAAACAGAGCAGCAGGGCTTGAGTAGGGCGCAGGTAGGAAACAGGCCCAGAGAAGGCAGGGACCAGACAGTGCTCAGCCCTGGTGAGCTGAGGCTGATGCCAGCGTTCATCCTAAGAGCCACTGCAGGGCTGGAAGGAGGAGAAAGACATCAGAAGATCTGCATTTAAAATGCTTGCTCTGACTGCTTCATGGAGAATCAATTGGAGGAAGGGAAGAACAGAAGTGGGAAAACAGGAGGTTACTGCAGAAATCCTGACAAGAGACCATGGTGGCTCAGAAGAGGCCAATGGCAGTGTCCGTGGAGAGACAGGTTTGATTAGTATTTAGGGGAGAGAATGGCCAGGATTTGCTGATTGGGTATGGGGGTGATAGAGAGGCAGGTGGAAGGCTGACGCCCAGGGGCCTGGCTTGAATCACTAACTGCGTGGAAGGAGGAACTGGTCACGGGTGCAGAAGCAAGTGAGTTACGAGGGATAGCACCAAGATGACAGATTTTTCTTAAATTCTCTTTCAATTTCCATACTCATGCTCTGGCTTTGATAAACGACAGTTGTGCCTCTGAACCTGAGTGGGAAGTAGCACCCAAAGATAGTCGTCAATCTGACTCTGGAAAGATGTGCCTTTACTTTCAAAGAAGCAATTTTATACACTAAGGTTTAAGAATTATAAATTGTTCATATAGCTGGATCCTAATAATAAAAAAATTAGAGACACTAAATCCATTTGAAGAACACAAATTTAGGCTTACCTGGAATTAACCATGCATTCTTGAAGGGGCATTTCACTGGGATACAGTTTTTGAGGGGCCCCTTAACCTGACATGCAAAGTCCTCTGTGGCCATCCCACTCCCTCCTAACCCCACCTCCAGTGAATTCCCGCCTCACCCCTACAACACCCCGAAAGCTGCTTTTCACCTCCTGAGTTTTGCTCTCACTATTTTTAACTTCACTTGAAATGTCCATATCATTTTCTCCCTATATCCACTTCACAGGCTCCTTCCTACTCATCCTTAAGGTGCCATCTCAAAATCACTAGTTTTAGAAAGTCTTTTCTCTTTAATAACCCATCCAGGCAGGGGTGGTGCTATGCTTCTCTGATTCTGTTCAAACCACAGTTATTGCCCACAGGCTTGTCTCTCCCACTGGACTCTGACCTCCTTGTGATCCCAGGACACGGCATCGTACTCAGCATAGAGTGGTTTGCTTAAGACACATTGAACTGAAC